TGCTGCATTGGAATTTTCTGTGAATTTTCTGAAAGTAAGTATTCTGGGAATGAAGTCTAAAAGAAAATCCCATTTGTTTCCTTGCTAGTCTAATTTGTTACAATCAAATCCCTATTTAAGTAATGACTTTAAAGCTATTGGTTACGCATCCTTGCATATAGAGTGACAATTGGGAGGTACCAACAGTTGGTATTGTGAAAAGTTGAATCTCCCAGATTGAGTGCGATTTTTAATAGAAAATGGAAGCAAGAAAAGCTTGACGAAAGTAAATCCTTAACCATAGTTATATTGTAGATTGAAAACATATTGGTCGTTGGTCACAGCTGCTGTGGAGGCATTCGTGCTCTTATGGGCATGGATGATGAAGTTGATAAAAGGTTCAGTAAATTTCTTCTTCTGTACTTATCACGTTGTTGCAAGTGGTCTTTGTGTGCGGTTGCCTTTTATTTGTTTGTCCAAGAACAGTCAAGCTATAGTTTTTACTTTTCCAAAATTCTTTTATGCAGTAGCTTTATCCAAAATTGGGTTGTTGTTGGGAAGGATGCAAGGTCGTGGACAAAAGCTGCTGCCTCCAAACTCAGTTTTGACCAGCAGTGCCAACATTGTGAGAAGGTAACATTTTTCTTTACTTATTATTTCCTTTTTTTTTTTTTTTTAAGTAACGTAATTCTATCCCAAGGAAGTTCTTGGTCTATGCAATTATTCCCGTTTGTATTTTTCTTCATTTCATTGGACCAGGCTAAATGAAAGTCGATTTCGTATATGTTGAAACTTGTATCAGCATTCTGTTTTATTGGTATATTGAATCTCCTGATCCATTTATTTTGGTCATTGTTGACCTCGTATCTATCCGGGAATTTAACCAAATTCTTTTGAGGTCCATGATTGGATTCTCCTATTGTGGCATACATTTGGGTTGCAACTAATGTAGGCTGTGTTATATTATAAAAGGATGCTCCAGATTCATAAAAAATGTTTCCCATATTGAATGATATCCTTGTGCAGGAATCAATCAACCGTTCATTGTTGAACCTGCTCACGTACCCATGGATAGAAGAAAAAGTGAAGAAAGGTGTTCTTGCTGTTCATGGTGGTTATTATGACTTTGTTGAATGTACATTTGAGAAATGGACGCTCGATTATAAGGAAGACAACTTGAAGGAGAAACATGGCAGAATTTCAGTTAAAAATCATTTGTTTTGGTGTTGATTTCATCTGTGGCCTTGTATGATCTAATTCATCGAATAAATTATTTAAAAAATATGTTGTTTGTATGGTGATTAAATTAAGACAATTCGAAAAATAATGTAAAATGATTTGGTTTGTATTAAAATATAATAAATAAAATAATGTTTATAATTTGTTGTGTTTTCGTCTGACAGAGTTGATGCTTTTGTTTTCAAGTTGATGCTCTCTTTTCTTTTCTTTTGGGACAAGAAACTGTCAAACTCTTTTGATCAGTAGTTTTATTAGAAGTTACCCCGAGAAACTCTGAATGAGGGGTGTTAGCCTTTTATCATCCTGGTGTCGAGCTATTTTATAATTAACAGGAAGTTAAGAACACCAAGAAGAATCATTTCAAGTTGATCTAGGTCGCCAAGTCAATTTAACACTTGCTGTTCTTCAGTGCAGACTCCAGCTTTTCTCGGATTCTGAAGCTCAGGTAACTCTTGCACTTAAAAATTCTTCACCGTTTCTATTTTTCTTCATTCCATTTCTACAAGCTATGTTCAAAGTAATTACTGTTTCCGTTTCTTGATGCAAGGGGAGAGAGATAGAGAGAGAGAGAGAGATTAAATTGAATCAAGGTTTTGGTTTGTAGATTGAGGAAAGCAAGAGAGAAAGAGAAAAACTTGTGCAAGCTCTAATGTCTAAGGCTTTCATATGATATGAGAATAATGAAATTATGAGTAGAGAGTCATTAGAGTTGGTTTAATAGTTGAGGATATGGTTTCCAATTATGACCGTTGCAAAACTTGGAAGCCAAGTAGCTCTCCATTGCCATACTATTTCACGTAATCTCTGTTCATAAACTTCATATATGAAGCCCACTTGGCATCTTCAAGTCATTTTACCCGCGCACACACAACGGAAAAAAAAAAATAGAAAAAGTTAGGGACAGGCTCTTGTGGTTATAGTTGAGAAAAAGGGCACAAGAAAGGGACCTTTGTTTTCGATTCAGCAGACCTTTCGAGAATATTTACTTTCTAGTAAGTTTGTGCCCACATATTCGTTTTCTGTTTGCTTCTGATGTGTTGTCTTAAGTAATCTGTTTTGGAATTTAATTTCGATGGCACATAATTCATGGTATGGTATGCTTTCAGTTTGCTTTAGGTACTGTTTGACCTGCATTTTCATTCATAGCATCAGCATGCTAAAACGTGTAATAAGAGTGCCTTGAACTTGGTTTTGGTGACTCTTAGAGATCGAGATAGCAGAGGTGACACCTTTGATTAAACGGTACGGTAATCCTGTACATTCCATTTAAAAATTTAAATGAAATATTGAGTTGAGTTCTTCCATATCAATTTACAAAATGAGGGAGAAAAAGAATATCGCAGGTTACCGTTAGACAAAAAGTTACACTCATACACAGAAATACGAATAAATTAAGAATAAAAATCCTAACAGAACTCACAAGCAGTAACAATAAACTCTATTTTGTATACTAGTAATACTCAGATGTAGCAGTATGTGATCGAGAGAAACAAAGAACAAGACATGACGATTGCAACGATACATATGTATGCATAAAACCTGTGATACATACAAAGTGAAACAAATTAGTTAAGAACTTAAAACCAATTTTTGGATTCAAGGAAGGGTGGTTTTGTGAGTCGGGGTTTGTGAAGGGAGTGTGTCCTTGGGGAGGGTTGGGATGGAGGAAAATGTGGGCTCAGGTAGCTCGGCTGGGAGATGGAGAAGAGATGGCATTTTGGGAAACTTTGGCAATTCCGGCTTTGGCAGAGTTGGGAAATTGGGTACTGCTGGCAGCTCAGGCTTTGGTAAATTAGGGAAACTGGGAAGTGGTGGCAATTTGGGCTTTTGAAGTGGAGGTTCCTTGGGCAAGGCTGGGATATGGGGTATTTTAGCCAACTTGAGCCCTTCTGGCTTTGGAAAAGTGGGGACACGGGGTATTGGTGGCAGCTCAAGCTTTGGCAAGTGGGGTAGCTCAGGCTTTGGGAAATGTGGCAGATCAGGCTTTGGCAACTGCGGCTGCTCAGGCTTGCAAATGTGGCAGCTCAGGCTTAGGAAGTGGTGGCAGTTCAGGCTTCGGCAATGTTGGAAAACTCCAAATTGGCGGCAACTCAGGCTTTGGAAGTTCAGGCACTTGAGGCAAGGAAGTCTCCAGCAGAAAACGAGTGCCTGCAACTATCGTTTCTAAAAGGTTTGGTGACTTTGGTCAAGAAGGTATTGGCATTGTTAGTTTATCAACTTGTTCTGAACTGCATATAACATATGTATATAGACACACATACAAGCTTTACTTATTTGGTAGCCAGACAGGGAAGAGGGAACTATATAACAATCTACTTGGTGGTTCTTGTGTCCAAAGGATCTTGTTTGCAGGCGAAAATTATATCAACTAGTTGAAATCACACCAAGAAGGTGGAAGGAAACTATTATCTATTTGTTTTTTCCTTATATAGCTGACAGCACGCTTGTCCGTTGGAAATGTCTAATGTTTCAATGCAGTCTTTTGTGCTTTCAATTCGAACAATGTCAATATTCTTGCATTTCCTGAATTACGTTGACACCGTGCTTCCTCAAGTCAACGTGACGGTAATTTACTAGTATTTGAACTCAGTCAGAAGTTGAACTGCATTCTTCATATCGTTACATAACTTCCACAGGTATATCTGAACAAGTTGACAACTATATCTCTATAGATGGTAATAAGCTTAAGGTTCGTTTATGTAATCTCCGGGTTTAGTGAAGAGACAAAAAATGGGTTCACTTTGGTTGGTTGTTGGCTGCAACAACATGATTAACTCCTAAATACCAAGGGCTAGTGCTAGTAGAAATATCTAACCTCCCTAATCATGTTGTCCTGTTTTCCTTGCTTGCTTAGCATCGCTAATGTAATGCCCTAGATGCTGAAGCTAGGAAATTTATCTAGGGCACTGAGACTACTACTCGACCGGATTGTTGCTTGGAAGCATTAATGGCACCAGACCTTTCTATTTCATTGTCTCTTTGATCAGGATGCTCGGAGAATGGTCCAGTTTAAAATCTCAAAGGAACCTCTCCCATTCAACTACTCATTTTGCTTTATGCAAGCTTATTCTTTTGTGTTGGCAAATTTAGGAAGGGTAATTGTCATTTGAACCCCCTAACACTCTAGTTAGAATCTTAAAAAAGGCTTATTCTTTCCAATGCCTCATGAAACTCGAACTTAATCTCACTTTCTCCTCCTATAACAAAAATATCGCCATTTTTCACCATGGAACTTAATATTCACTCTACTTTAGTCAAAATCCGTCTATTCCATCAAATTTTCAGATGGGTATTTTGGTCAAATTTTAATGGACATGTGAAACGAATACATACATATGTTTTGGTTGAAAAATGTGACTATGAGATAGAGACTTGGGGCAAAAGAAGAAGAGGAAGATATAAGAAGATTTAAACATAAACTTTAAGAAAATACATGAAGTGCTTGGAGCTAATGAAGGATTTAGTACAAACCTAATACATTGATGTTCTAGGATTTATACAGCCGACCCCACTTGGTGAAATAAAACTTTTTTGTTATTGTTGTTGGTCAATTACGTATTAAATCGTAAAGGTCTTTTTCTGCGTTGTGCATTAATATTGGGTAGTACTTGTAGTAGTAGTACATGGTGACACAATGGCAGCAACTGGATGCAGAGTCATCATTACTCCTCTACCAGCAAATACAAGTGTAAATTCTCGAGTCAATTATTTATACTATATATGAACGTCGTCAAAATTGTTGTGTAAGTGCTCAGTTGGTTCTAGCCATGTGTGAGTGATGTATTGGTCGAAGCTATGTGTCAATGATGTGTTGAGTCGTAGCTATGCGTAAGTGATGTGCAGGGCTTAACTATGTCTTAGCCTTGTGTTGGCCGCAGCTAGGTTAGTGTTGTATTAGGTGCAATTAGGTGTCTATGTTTGGGTGTTGTGTTGCACATCTACGTGTGATACGTATAAGTATTGTCTTTATTGGTGTACTTAATATAATTGTGTTTGGGTCTGAAATCTTAGATTTGGATCGAGATGGAGTTAGCCTAGGAAGAAGCCCACAAGTTTCGGTACGATGGTGAAATATTCGGCCCAATAGTAAGGTGTTGATGACTCGATCGTGTCCCAGAGTTCCCAATTCAGAGATTAGGAATGGATTATGATTTGGCCAAGTCCTGGTTAAAGTGGGTTTCTGTGAAGATCAGGGCGGGTTTTGATAAGATTTGGATTGAATTGTTTAGGTATAAAAATTAAAGAAAACTAATGAAAGGGACTTCAATACTTTGAATTTTAGCCAAAAATCATGTAATAACTTTATTTAATGGCTAGTACAAAATCCAATATCAAGCCAGCCCAATAAGACTAGCCCAAAAAATATAATATATCGAGCTTCCGATTTTACCCTTGACGTTAAGTCTTGTCCGTTGGTCCGTTTCGCTTTAGATGGAGAGAGAGAAGGTTTATAGATTCAGATCTTTTCGTTAATTTCATCACAATTCCAACACACGTATCGACAACCCCAACAACTTTGGAAAATGCAATCGAAATCCCGATGCATGTGAACAGTAGATGCAGATCTCGCTTCGGAAATAAGCGAAGGATGGGGAGGTTGGGGGCTTTTCGTCCGTCTTCTCAAATCTCCAGAAAATCGCCGAAGAGATCTCTCGCAATGTAAGTGTTTCCAGCGTTTGATAAATGTATTTGAATATGCAACTTGATTTGGTGTATTTTGGAAATTAGAGTTCATAATTTTGGGAAATGTTGATTAGTGGATATAATTTTTGGTGGTGTTTGATAATTGCAGAGTTAATTAACTGTTTTAGATTGCGAATCTCAAAGTAGGTTTAGAGTTTGGTGCCGTAATCTGATTACATGTATATGTTTATGTTTGCTTGTGGCAGTTTAATTATAAACTATGCAGAGATTTATGTTTTCAGTCCAAATGGAAGAGTGTAGGTTTGCTGCATTTTGTGGTTTAGTTTGTGAAGTGACGGTTTTTGGGCGTAGGCAGCTGTGGTTGCTTAAACGGTAGTGAAAAGCCTTGTTGACATGCAGGCTGTTGAGGATTCAGAAGAATCTTCTAAGGACGAGGAACGGGATATTGAAAAGGAAAAGCCAAGACGGCACCAAGAGCCAAAATGAGCATGAAAAGCCAAGAAATGCTGCTCTTGATAAATTAGAGAAAGCTAGAATTCATATTGCAGGTATGTATATTTTCATTTCTCAGCATTTGTGATTAATGATTATTCACTTGATTTATTTGCACATATGAAGATTTTTATCTTTCAATATACTTTTGGTTTTCCTGAACTTGCAGGTTGTTGCTGAGTGAAGGTAAAAAATTTTGAGTTATCAGTCATACTATTTTGTTGTAAGAAAAGTTGTTTGGTGCGGATTTGTAGCTCTTCTAAAATTGAATCATAATTATTTATATGTCACTTTGCACTCTGCAATCATTTCCTATAGTAGGATGGTGAGGGAGAAGGGATGGGGACCCAACCGATTACAAAATATGCTCACTTTGCACTATGTTCAGTTTAAGAAGTAGTCAGTGTGTAATTTAAAAAATAGTGATAGTACCCGTGTTTAGTTCTAGAAACAGTCAGTGTTTAGTTTACGAAATAATGATAGTACAAGTATTCAGTTTAAGAAATAATCAGTGCTCACTTTAAAAAATAGTGATATTGTCACGTTTAGGCCTAAAAATAGTTAGTGGTCAGTTTACGAAATAATGATAGTACCAGTGTTCAATTTAAGAAATAGTCAATGTTCCATTCTAGAAATAGTCTGTGTTCAATTTAAGAAATAGTGATAGTACCAGTGTTCAATTTATGAAACAGTGATAGTACCAGTGTTCAGTTTAAGAAATAATCAATGCTCACTTAAAGAAATAGTAATAGTATCGTGTTTAGTTCAAGAAATAGTTAGTGGTCAGTTTACGAAATAGTAATATTACCACTGTTCAGTTTAAAAAATAATCAGTGCTCACTTTAAGAAATAATGATAGTATCGTGTTTAGTTCTAGAAATAGTTAGTGGTCAGTTTACGAAATAGTGATAGTACTAGTATTCAGTTTAAGAAATAGTCAATGTTCAATTTTAAAAATAGTCTGTGTTCAGTTTAAGAAATAATGATAGTTCCAGTGTTCAGTTTACAAAATAGTGATAGTATTAGTGTCCAGTTTAAGAAATAGTCAGTACCCACTTTAAGAAATAGTGACAGTTAGTGTTCATTTTCATTAAAATTTAGGCTGTTTATTTTTTTCTTTTATAGAAAATAAAAAACTATATTAAAAAGAAAAATCCCTAGGGCAATCCGTACGAGTACAATCAAATGGAAAGACCGGGCGAGCAGCAAGCGGAATAGAAATTAGAGGACTAAATGATGGAGCTACTTCATGTGCTGATGACATCTGCAAACAAGTTCTACCGTTAACATTTAATCCATCTCTTTTTCCACACATATTTTGGATCGATGCATTCTGACTGGAATTGAACAAGCCATTTCTCATCCCTTCCCCATTTTCGTTCCATATACATATATTTTTCAAAGTTGCTAGAGGCTTTGGTTGTATCCAAAACGAAATGCAGCCTTTTTCTCACACGCACTTTGATTAAAAAATTAGCACAATGAAAACGCAAATCACCATCGTATCTAAAAATCAAGAAGTCCCCGCATTCCACATAATGGTCTCTCACAAATGCGTATTGGTCTCTCGCAAATGTCGACCACCCATGATGCAAGAACAAACCAACATTCTATTGAATCAATTCAACACTCCACGCACTGCCTTCCATGTGTCTCATGAATCCTTCTGGGATTTTCAGTCTTTCGAAGCTCAAATCAACAGAATAATCCCATATGCAGTTCATAAAGAAATCCATATCTAATCGCAAATATAAATATAAACCACAACCCAGTCCATCAATTCATCCGAAAATGAACAAACAAAAAAAACCATAAAATTTTCAAAAACTTTTAGGGAACTACCATCTAAAAAATAGAATGACACGGGATTTAATTAAATAAATAATAAAGTCTGTAGCAAAGAGACAAAGATCTGATCGAACCTGGAACAAGCAGGCGAGATCCACTGTGAGATTCAGGGGATTGTTTCTCTATCCAAATCAGGGCAAATCGAGCGAGGTGGGAGACCGTGACCGCGAGTGAGGTGTTTAGAGCTGGGTGGGATTTAATCAAGTAACTGAAATATTTGGTCCTTCTTGTTCGCTTGAAATATTGTACAACTTTTTTAACGGGATCGGCTGACGGAATGAGGTTTATGTTAGGGGCAAGGGCTGGAAAGAAAAATATTCCGTTTTGGGCTTTTAATTCAGCCCATGTAGTTTTAATGTTTGTAGGACCTTATATAAATTAGTTATGTCCTTTATGATTAAATATAAAGTACTTTTGGTTAAATAATAATACAGGACGGTTTTTGGTTAAATTAAACTTCACTCAAGCCTTTTTCATTAAAGCTCCCTAAAAAGTATGACTGGATAAAATTGAATTAACTACAGAAAGGGATTAGGTTTAGAGACCTAGTTCAGGTTAAAGAGGGCAAGACTAGATGATGATAGAGTTTCAACAGAAAAAGGACTTGTCAGGATAATTTCAAGTGCATTCAGATATTGCTGAGGAATTTAGAATTCTACAACTTGGTAGACTTGCACATCAAGTAAATTATCCCTATAAATACAAGAGGGTTTGCAACGTAGAGAAGACCTTCAACTCCACACACCGATCGACGCTCTACATGAATCCTCTCTCTTTTTGAGAAAAATTATACTGATTGTTCTACTAACTTTTAGTACCAACACAGTTTGGTTAGATAGATTTGGGTTGACAGTCGACAATTGCTTGATTAGATGAAGTTTTCTAGAGGCAACTAGCAAAGGCGGCATGGTCGTTAGGCATCGACAGGGTCGTTGAATAAGTTCGGTTCAAGAATATTGACTGCTTGGTTAAGCGGCAAATATATCAAGTTCAACTGGTTAGCTAACTTGAGTCTCTGCAGGTGAAGAGTCTTTGGTTCTCTCACTAAAAGAGGCCACTTTGTTAGCCTTCTTGGCAAAGTGGCGTGTTTTATGATTGGATACTCTCAAGTCACATTCAAAGTTCAGCATACTGATGGCCGAACACTCTCAAGGCACTCGTTTTCTTTGAGTATCTTTCTCCCTATAGTTGATACGAGTTCCGCGAACTTATATTCTTACCAATATAGTTGAGGCTGCCAAACCTAATGCACAAGATCCAGAAGTTCGTAGTGAGTTGCATAATCTTGTCTTTAGGTTATAGAACCCAAGGCCTAGAGTGTTCCATCCTCGGCCAAAGTCGTTGGGTTCAGGAGTCAAAAGTGCATTTCACCGCATTCATCATATTCAAGACACTTGCCCAATTGAATTCAGTAGTGAGTTGGCACGCCCGCATTAGCAATCAACTACCGAAGAATGTAGTTAGCTCCTTAGTTGCTCAACATGCGCACTACGTAGGTTGTGTAATTGAGCCAACAAATTGTGAAAATGATGCTTCTATTATTGGTAAAATTGAGATCAAATTGCCTATCACATATGCTTCATTGTTATAGTCACTCTTGTGAGTTTTGTAACTCATCAAGTTTTTTTCACCAATCTAGTATGCAGGGGCGGATCTATTCATGGATTTTGTTGGTTTCGAGACCACCCGCAAGTCCGAAGAAGCACTTGTGAACACCTCTGAGGATCATCAATTGGTTCGGGTAGTTGGTGGAAGTAAGAAGACCACCATGGCTATGTAGATGTTATGCAACATAAATTTTGAACTAAAAAGAAAGATCTAATTTCAGACAAAGTGGAACATAGAGAAGATTGCTCATTTCCCACATGACCGACTCCTCATTATTTATTTATTTATTTATTTAATTGTTGTCCAATTAGGTTGTGCTACTGCCACCTAACATTTTAATTAATAAAGAGACGGTCTATTACTCAATCAACAATCACATTTTATATCATAGCCGCTAGGCCCCAATTGGCCGCTCGACTAGCGCCTAGTGTACCTTAATTAGGATCACAATACTAGAATGGTGAATCTGTCACTGCTGGTACAAACACATTTCCACAATGTAAATGTCAATGCAGTTGTCAGAGTATAGAGTTTACCTTTATTTAACTATTGTGAGACATAGTTCACCTATGAACTTTGTAAATTATGTTACCAGTGTCCTTTGTCACGGTCGATTAGGAGTATCTTGAAATTGGAGTGTGACATTAACGGTGAGGAATTGAAGCTAAGCACACAATATCGGTCATAATAAATTAGTATCAAATGGGTCAACCATAATAAGTAGATATCAAACTCGTCATAAATAAGAGTCGAATCTAAGACATTCACTTATAAGTTAAGAGTAATAATGTACTAAGTGGCAAAAGAATCAACAAGTTTAGAATTCAATATGCAAAGTGGCAAAAGAATCAACAAGTAATAATATACTAAGTATTACAGTCTAGTGATATTCCTGTTTACTTTTTAGTGAGATGTCTTAAGTTTGATTCTTGCCAAAGACAAATTAGAATTACATTATTGCTAGCCCATTGTCAGGCTAAGTCCACTTCTTTTCTCTTAGTGTAGATAATATCGATTGTGAGGCTAAGTCTATTCCCTTTCTTTTAGTGTAGATAATATCGTTTGTTAAAAAAAAAAAAAATAATGTATAAAAGAATTCAATATATAAACAAAAGCCTTGACTCCTCGATCGTCAAATAGATGATAACCTAATAGCTAGGTATATTTTTAATATATATAACCAACCGCAACCGAAGCCAACAACTTAAGAGACCGACTCTATTTCACTGACGAGTGGACAAGAAGGTGAACTAATTAACAACTCACATATGGGTTATCATCATGTCAAATTTTTCCTAACCATTTTTTAGCAAATCAACAACACCGCAACCGTATATGCGTGTATATTTATACACACACACACACACACACACACACACACACACATGCACAAACTCATCATCAATATTAACTCAATCGATCATATATACTCAATTACTCATTTGAATTACTTCCGAACCTTTTCGATCGATAAGTTTGAATCAATGGACACTTACAATCACTGCTTCTTATCTGCTGTCTTGTTCATTGTCCTGTTTTCTTCAAGCATCCATATCTCCGTAGCGGCTCGCAATCTTCTCCAGACGACGACTGCACCGTCTTTGCCTAAACCTGCTTCAACACTACCACCTTTCCCTCCCCTGCCAACATTCCCACAACCCACATTGCCAAACATACCAAAAAACCTACCATCTCTACCTATGCCCACCGGCGGTGGCTCCACACAGACACAGCTGCCTCCACTTCCCAATTTCCCTACTACGTCATTCCCAACTATCCCTAAGGTTACACTGCCTCCGCTGCCAAACTTTCCCTCAGTACTCCCAACCAATATCCCTACTACAATTCCCTCTTTCCCATTTTTCTCTCCACCACCTGCAACTGGCAAACCGTAAATCATGCATATATGTTGGCACATGCAGACGCCGCAACTACGCTAGCTGACTAGCTACTGTTGGATTGGATCTTCATTTTCTCTTTCTATTAATATGCTTTTGTTTATGTACTGTATTGGATACGTATTTCTTTGATTATAATATGTACTGTATGCTTTGAGGCGCGTTACATATGTGCATTGCAGTTTTATTTGGTGTGTTGTTATACGTGCTAATGCTATAGAACTGTTGTTACATGTACATGTTTCAGTTAACTTCAGTTATGCTTTTATATTTATAATGTGAAATCGAACCTATAACTTAATTTGTTTTCTTCATATACTTCGCCATGTGCTAAAATTGAAAGTGGAAGTAACCTATATCGTATTCCTATGGACCCTATCTAAGCGGAAGTAACACTACCCAAAAAAAAAAAAAAAAAAAAAAAGGAAAAGAAGGACTTAGGAGACTAATAGATAGTTGGCCTAAAATAATACAACTCACACTAACACTTCTTCTCACGTTGGTGCATAGGTATTTGTAAAGTGAGCTGTAGAACGCTTTACTCGAAATTGCCTTCATTAGGATATCAACCAAGGTCTTCTGATTTCACAAATGGGAATCGAACTATCTGATCTTTCCGCTTCTCTTAAATGAAATATATGTCCCCCTCAACATACTTAGTACGATCATGCTGATCTAGATTATGAGTAATGTTATCTGCAACTTTATTATCGCAATTAGGAGTGGACACGAACCGGTCCAGGTACAAATCTAGACGAACCAGACTGGATCCGTTTGGAAATGAAATGGGGTAGGGTGGGGTGGGGTGTTATATTTTAAAAAACTGAACCGAACCTGACCTGGTAGTTTAAAATGGGATTGTTCCTACGGGTCCAATTGTCTTTATTTATTTATTTATTATTATTATTATTATTATTATTATTATTATTATTTCGCAGTTTTTTTTTTTTTTTTTTTTTTCATTTTTGTCTTTCATGAATTTCTTGTCAATTCATTTTTTTTTCATTTAAAAAAAATTATATATATATATATATATGATCTGTATAGACTGATATAAAAGTTCAACGACAGCAATGCAGAAGGCTACAGAAAGATGCCTAAATGCATGAACAAGACTTCAAAGGATCAACCAAGGCAACAAGAAACTATCATATTTAAGCGATAAAAATCATCGGATCCAAATGTTTTGTGATCAACCTCTAACCATTTTTGCCCTTTGCAATTTAATTACAACTTTATTCACCAATCCAAGGTGTGTTCTGAGAAGGATGAATTTTAAAAGAAATGCTCTATTAAGACTTAATAAATTAAAACCCTGAAAACCCAATTAAATGATTAAAACCAAGAAAACTTTCAACCCAATAAAGCAAATTAGCAGGCTTACTGTCACATCTCGGCCCGGGGTGGATCACTTCCCGGGCCCACTCCACCACCGTAGCACGATATTGTCCGCTTTGGGCTTACCATTCCCTCACGGTTTTGTTTTTGGGAACTCACGAGCAACTTCCCAGTGGGTCACCCATCATGGGATTGCTCTAGCCCTTTGCTCGCTTAACTTCGGAGTTCCTACGGAACCCGAAGCCAATGAGCTCCCAAAAGGCCTCGTGCTAGGTAGGATGGGAATATACATTTAAGGATCAGTCCCCTGGGCGATGTGGGATGTCACACTTACGCCCTCTAGAGATTGTAGAGACTAAATTTAGTAAATTACCTTAATTTGGGGAGGAGAGGAGACGATGATGGCCGATTTCAATTTGCAGAACGAATTGATGAGGACTTTATTCCAAAAATCCTGGAGATGACACGGGAACTTTATCTCAAAAAAACGACTTTCTTTATTGAATGGGCAGAGCTCTCAAATACTCCCAGTGCAGCTCAGCATCCCTGAAGGTCCAAGCAGTTGACTACGACTACTTAAGGCTCACCTCCTTGTGGTATGGAAAAGTCAAATGCATTAAAGATATGATTAATCATCAAATCCCATCTTTAATACATTCCTAATTGAAGAACAATTCAAACAACTAAGAAATCCTCATCACCATCAATCAAGGATACTTACCTCATCATCCCAATATATTATCTACTAATTAATATCTTGGGAATATTCTTTCCTCATCTATCCTACGGATGACACTCTTGGCCAATGAGAACCGCCATGTTTAAGGAAAAACCTAACCCTATGGCTAGCCACCTCCCTATAAATACATCTATCTCCATCAAATTTTGATAAGCTTTTACTATGCATACAAGCCCCAAACACTCATTATTTTCAGAAAAACTAACTTAGGCATCGAAGATCCATTGGCCAAACCCCTTTCCCTTTCGTGGGCACATGAGGCTTTGGTCTTTGATCAAAGGTGTTGATTGTTTTGTAGGTACAAATTCGTCAAGACTGAAGACGGCATATTTTTGCTACCACTGACACGAACTAAGGGAAAGAGAGACACGAACAAAGGGAGAGAGAGACACGAACAAAAATAGTATTAAGCAGCAACAACTCAAGTTGACAGAGATAGAGAAGGACGGAAGGAGAGGAGAGAGAGAGAGAGAGACATACAGAGTCGCGTAGCAACAGCTCGATTTGGGACTTCGGTTAGGAGAGACGAGAGAAGAGAGTCAAGACTCATGAGTTTAAGAGACGGAGAGAGAGTGATACTGAGAGAAAAAGGCTCAAATGATGGAGATTTAATCTCACAAGATCCAACGGTTGAAATAGTTCGGTCCTGGGACCAGTTTAACTTGATTTTTGGACCCGCCCTCTCTCTTTTTGTCTTCATAAATTTTGGATCATCCCCCGAACTGCATGGACCCATTGAGAGCCTCGACCTGCGGATCTAAGATCTGTTTGCTCACCCCTATCGCAATATAGATTTATCATAAAATTCGGAACCTAAAGTCTATGACAAACCTCCCTAACCCTAGCTAACAACAAAAATTTACGAAGTCCCTTATTAGATTCCTTTATACTTAGCTTCTGCAATTTCTGCACTAGATAGAACAACAACCACTTTAACCACTAAAATTAAACAGAATAACATGGAAAAATAAATGAAAACAAAGACGAAATTTTTATACTTGAATAAACCAAGAGGGACAATGATAAACAGATAACTGCCAGCTGCAATGTTTTCAATGGAGAAGTGTGCAAATTATTGGTACTTTGTTGCTACAATTCTTAAATTTGATTAATACCTGCATCTAACATATGTGTAGTACTCTTTTACACCCACAACAGTATTTTGGAGTAGGATTCTCTCCCCTTTTATTCCCACCCCCTTCCCTCCCCTTCTTTCACATATTGCTTTTTGTCTTATTGTCTCTATAAAAAAATCAATATAAAATGTTGATGTGGCTTAATCGTATTTTATAGCATAAAAACCAAATATAATTAGATTGTTCCCTATGAAACTAACAACCTCCACTCATTTTTTTGGGGGGGGGGGGGGTCCAAATTTACACCACTAGTTGTCAACCATTCGTGTATAAATTGACTAGAGTCTGGTCTTGCCTTCCTCAAATTAGGCTCGTTTAGTTTCCTTGTGAATTAGCTAGCTGGAGCTCACTCCCTTTGGTTTTGGTTCCACATCACAAGTCTAAGATGCCATCTAATTAGTGCAAGTGGTTGTTTATCATAGCTATGTTTTTCACGTTATCGATTTCTTCGGCTTTGGGTAGTGGCCCTGCCCCTCGAAAACTCTTAGCACCAATCGTTCCTTATGTGCCCAATGTTAACTTTCCTCCTCTGCCACCCACACCACTTTTTTCTCCACCTATAACTTCACTTCCCACTTTCCCTATCTTCCCTCCACCTTCATTTACCACTACCACCTCAACCACCCCTTAATTAAAATCATCAGTTGTGATAGATGAGGATTCTGGGAAGTTAAACCTTAATTGTTGGTTTGGATTGTGAAAGTCTATCTATTTTGGTTTCTAGTTTATCTAGTTGTTTTCCTATGGTGTGTAGACTTTGGTTTGTGAAATTGTTTTGTTCAATGACTGGCTTAACTCCTGCATCTTCTTTGGGAAGTTTAAAAGGGGTGGCTAGTACCTGTGTGTTTGCAGTTGTAATTAAAATTATTTCTTGTAGAGGGTGACTAGAAGAGACTATGGTTTTGTCTTCTTTAACCCAATTTTCTTTGGTGATTACTTCTAATTTCTTTTCAGACTGGTAATATTTTTCAACGAAATCAAAGAAAAATACTTCAAATCGGTGTTTTTTTTCATGAAATTGGTCCAAATTTTGTTCTTTTGTATATTTTTCCCTAAAGGTGTTTCTTTTGGGAATGTTTTCCATTGCTTTGATGTCAGCGTTGAGTTTCTTCCATCGAATTTTGAATGGTTTGTTTAGGACCAGGAGTTGATGGTTGACTTGATTTGCTTCGAAATTAGATTCCCTTGGAGTGGTTTGTTTTCCTTGATTATGGGTGTTAGGTTGGTATTGTGGATGAGTAACCTGAGAGGTTGTTTCTACTGATTATAATTTCATGTTGATTGAATCATTAATCAATTCTTGCTGGGTGACTACTGAGCTAGTTTCTATTGATTTTAATTTTTTATTGACCTGAAAATTGATTAGATCTTGATCTCTACCCACCATATCGGCTAATGTGGATCCAGAAGAAGAGTTTCTGTTTGGCTCTAAAGATTTGTGTGACTAGGCTAACTCGTGTAGGTGGACACTAGATTTTCTGGCTAGAGCATTGAAGTTGATTTTAACGGTTCTGTCAAAGTATTGTTTTATGTTGTCGAGGTTGACTAAGCTATTTTGTATGCTTACTGGTTTGCTATCATTGATCAAGCACCAATATAAAGGTAGACTGATATTTGACCATTTGATAGTTCTGGGTATTTTGATGTTGGCATTTTCTTGATTGGTTTTTATCAGGAGTGTGTGGTCTCTAGGACCTTTAACTAAGGTTTGGAAATTCATGTTTGTTCCTGTAACTTTGTAGTAAACTCTAAAGATTAAGGCAAATAGTTGGACTCCTTCAAGAACTTG